TTCTCTTTCTCTCCTTCTAAGTGGGCTTATTAACCACTATAATTTGGGGTGTCCTCTCTCTCCTTGTTCCCTCTACTTCTGCTCCTTCAGCCTGACAGCTCACTTGTTCCCCTTCCCTTCTTTGATTTCCTGTTCTGTTCTGGCCAAGAACAGAGGAAGCCACGCACTAAGACCTTTACCCCTGGAAGTAACTGTAATGCTCCAAAACTTTACCAAAATGAATGCCCAGGTCAAAGAGAGGCACGGATAAGGACATCCATTATTTTTGTGTGTGTGTGACCCAATTTGTAATTCAGTGTGGGCGCTCTGCTCACAAATCAGCTTTCTACCACTGTCTGTTTCAATGTGAGAATTCTGGATCACACATAAAGTCTTACACTCAAGCTGTATTTCTCCCCTATATTAGCCCCTCCAGTCCCTCCCCCCACCCCCGTCCTTGTTCTCATGTTCATCTTGAACCGATGAAGAACTCTATTCTCTTAAAAGAATTGAACATTGGGGGGAAAAAGTCACTCCAGAATGTGCTTGAGTGTAGCTGACTGGTTGTAACCGGTTAGAAACGCACTGCTCTGCTCCCTGCCTCCAGTTACAGAGCCAGGCTCTGCCTCCTGGTCAGGGGATGCGTGCCATGTCACATGCTACAGGATGGTTTCCAGCCCCCATTTCTCAGCAGTCCCCAGGGGTGGGAGAAGCACCCTGCAGGCACATGGCTGTGGTTTTATCATCTTGCACTCATCACTGTATTCAGCAAGATAGATTTTTATTGTGCAACAAAACTGCTATTCTAGGGTAAACTTTGACACAAAGCATTGTGTTCTTGACTGAATCAGCTAAAAGAAAAAATAAGGGGGCAGAAAAGAGATGTGGGACACGTTTCAAGTCTCTCTTTTAAAAACAGCTACTTTTGGAGAAGCACTCAGATAGGCAATTAGAACAAGTGACCACCTCTAAAGAACAAACTTGCCTTTTCAATAAAAGACAAATGGTGAAAATCCTAACTCACCAGTACTCTGCAAGTTCCTAGCATTCCTTTCTTTGTTGACCAGATGAGAACATAATAGTTATATGAAGATTTTTGACTTTGTGGGAGGTTGGTACCTCAACCCCTACATTGTTCAAGGGTCAACTGTAGTCACTAATCCCTATGTATTTTAACCAGTTAGAAATTTTCAAACATTTAACAAAATACATGGAATTCCTGGGTAGGAATCCCAGGAATCCTACCAGCTTTACAAGTTGAGGTTAAGTGTTGCTTTTTGAAGTATCAGCACCAACAAACACTTAATTATTATCTAAAATGTGCAAAACCCAAGGAGATACAAAGGTAAGCAGATGTAGACTGTCCTGAACTATGCCATCTCATCAGCATCCTGTAGTTAAAGACATCTGCAGAATTCAACCGGCTTCTAGAGCTCATCATGTGCAGTAGTTCTTCCTTTCATTCAACAAATTTTTACTGAGCTGTTTCCTTGAGCCCATCACTCTCTTGAAGGATGCTGGGCTCAAAGGACTGTTTCCTGCCCTGACACTTGTCTAATTTGAAGACAAAACCAGTGCCTTCTTGCAGGGTTAAAATTTATATATGTGTCAAAAATACAGGAGTACAGATGAGGAAAGAAGAGACATGGGACGATGGAGGAAGTTGCTGGGAAGTGAACAGGTTTAAAAACCTTCACAGATAGGAAGAGGCTTGAGCTAGACCTTAAATGAAGCAGGATTTCCACAGGGGTCAATTATGGAGGGTGAGAGGGAAAGAGGTATGTGTAAAAAATATTCGATGCATGAGATATGCTTCGGGGCAATAAAGAAATAAGACACCCTGGACTCCTCTATGTGGGAGTTGGAAGGAAAGAATGTTGGAAAGAACATTATGGGTATCTTGACAAAGTAGGCTAACTATGGTAATCAAGAACTAATGCGTCTGAGTGTTTTAATGCAACATAATTTTGTCTTGCTCATTTAGCAGTTCATTGTAGGTGTTTGGTGGGTAGATTTCTATATGGTGACTCAGGGAAGCAGGCTCTTTCCATCTTTTGCAAAGTTCTTAGTGTCCCCTCCATTCAGCTGCCTATACATCCAGTAGAGAGAAAAAGTGAGGGCATAGAGCATTGTGCATGAGAGATTTTTATGGGTCAGGCTTAGAAGTGCGTTATATTATTTCCACCCACCTTCCATTGGTCAGAACTGAGTCACATGGTGACACCTAACTGCAAGTGAGTCTGAGAAAAAAGAAACAGGTGTTAATGAGCACAGCTGCCTCGACATAGACTTTTAGTTGGAGTGGTTTGAACTTTATCCCGAATGCTGGTAAGTCACCCTCCACCTTAGCTTAGGGGTGTGCTCAGTGGTGATGTAAGCTTCATAAAGAGCATGGTTTTTGTATGTTGTAATCACTGCTGTATCCCCAGCATATGATAGGCCTTAAAGAAGTATTTGATCAAATAATGAAATGATGGATGGATGCTGGGAAGGACTCCTGGACATATGGATCTTTCCAGGGTGAATTAGTGGAAGAAGGCTGAGCCAGGGAAGCCACGCAGGAAGTGATTGTGATAATTTGATAGAGCCCGAGTTACTGCAGTCACAGTAGGAAGGGTACATTTTTAGAAAGAGAAATGTTTACTTCTGCTATTTTAACTTTGTTAGTTTACAGCAGAACCTCAGCTTATAGTTTAACCAGAGTCCCTGCTGAGTTGAAATCATAGAAGCAGGTTGTGAGCCGAAAGGCCAGGGGCTGTCTTTGGAGGCATTCGTTGGAATGCAGCCTGGGGACTGGAGCTGTGACACAATACTGCAACCCAAACAAAATAAAACTTGACCAAACCAGCAAACCCCCACTGGAGTTCAAGTTACTTTAATGGACTCCAGGGAAACACAAACTGCAGTTGTATTATATATGCAAAATGTGCTCTTTGACCTTATTGTAAGGAAAATGACTGGAGTACACATAATGTTTTGCCAGCTTTCCAAATGTGTTGGACAAGTTAACTCCTATGCAATTATGCAATTTTTTTTGAATTTTAATTTTAAAATATCCCTGAAAATTAGATGCTGATCCAACCAGAGCAGAGAATATCGACAAAAAGAATATGTTCTCTGTTCACCTAAGAGAAATCAACACTTCTGAGAATTCAAGATTCTGAATTGTGTGGCCAGAGAATTCAAGATTTTAGGAAGTTGTTTGCAGATGGATGTCTTGGAAATGAAAAGCAAAGGGCAGCATATGTCCTGCCTCTAGGTTTGACTTTTGTGATTTATGTACAAGCTGGGGCAGACCTGAGTCCCACCTGAACTCAGGTTAGGCATCTCTTTACTCTGGGGAAAGGCTGGATTTAGGATTATGCCAAGTTGAGTGAGGAAACTCACAGAGAACAGCCAGGGAGTGTTAGGAGCTTTTTAGTGATTCTTGCTGATCTGAAAATAATGTAAAAACAACAGAAGAGCTTTTTGTGGTATTTTCACATGTTCTCTTGGTCTGGGGAAGAATCCAACATTAAAGTGGTTTAAAAATCATAAATATTTAAAACGACATAATATGCCCTACCCCTTTCATACATCCCTACCAAAAAATAAACCATAATAATAAGAATGGCAAGAACAGGCAGGAGAAGCAGAAACGACGGGAGACAGCAGCACGTGGGATGGGGACGAATGTGATCAGACCGCTAACGTCTGGTGTCCGTGCAGAAAGCGGTGGGGAAGGTGTGAGGAAACACCATAAGGGAGTCTCTCCCTTGCAGGCCCAGGGCTCTTTGAGATGAGTTCCTAATTTCCTGAGGCTTCCTGAGATATGAATTATCGGCCTGAGACAATGGAGACCTGAGGGCTTCTTAATTTGGTTTCCAGCTCAAACCCCAGAGAAGTCAATCCATTGAAATTCCATTTGCCTAGTGATTTATTTACCAAATTAACTGATTTTTTTTTGAAGAAGAAGAAGAAGAAAAAGACGTAATTATTCACAAATTTGATAGCAATTCATTTTGCACAGGATAGTTTTCACACGAGCCTTGCAAAGTTGTTGGGTGTAAATTGACTGGAAAGCCATTTTTTATTTTTTTCCGGCTTCAGCTTTCTGAAGATTCAGTTACAAGTTGCTGAGGCTGGAAAAACAGCCGCCTCTGCTGAGGGATAGAGGCGGTGGAGACGGCGCGCTGCACCTTCATGTTCTAGAGAGGAGAGACTGATGGGCAGAGGAAGGGGGCGATGCTGAGGTAAAGAAGGAAAGAATGGGTGTCAGAGGTCATGGGTGCTGGAGGACAGAAAAGGCTGAGATGAGCTTTTCTCAAGGGCAAGTGTTTGAAGGTTCGAGAGCTTTTTCCAATGCACACTGGGGCTCTGCTAATTCTTCCAATATCAAGCGTCATACACCTTCTCCTTTGTTAATGCAAACAGATTAAGTTAGCTGGTAAACTCGGAGAAATTGTTCTTCTGAACATGGATTTTCCGAGTTTCCGTTTTCCACAGACTGGCTGCTTCCTCTAACCCCAACCCCATCGAGCCATCCCAGCCACACCTCAAAGCTGTGGCAGAAAGGGGAGCCTGCCTGGAGGAAGAGGCCTGCAGGACCTACAGAGCGATGGGGGTTTGAAAGAGGAGGGAAAGTCGCCGTAAAACCCAGTGTTCCTTTGCTTGCTGAGGGGTTAGAAACAGAGGCTAACTTGTGGTTTGCCCAAGACTTCCATGGTTTTAGTCCCGAAAGCCTCACATCTCAGGCACACTGAGGCAGTTGGCTAGTCTTGAGAAAGAAAATGGCACACAAAGGTGGTGGCTGGTGAGAGAGCCTCTCTCGAGGGACAGCCTTCTCGCTGGTACAATGTGTATAGCTTACAGGGAAGATAAAAGGATACTTGGGAGAAATGACACGGATCAGAGCAGTCACCCCAGGGACCTAAGACCAGGGAAGGCCCTGGCTTGCTCCAGATATCTTGATTATCCAATATTCATGCACTTACTTTTCTAAATGTGCTTTTTCCCCCTCTTTCTCTCTCTCTCTTCTTCAGGGAGGCAGGACACAGTGCGTGCGAGAAGTTTGTCCCATTCTCTCCTGTCCTCAGCACCTTCGTCACATTCCCCCAGGACAGTGCTGCCCCAAATGTTTGGGTGAGTGACTGCTTTCAGGTCAAAGAACAGTGTAACTTATCCTTGGTGTTTTCTGCAGAGACTGTTGATCCACATTGTTGTCTTGGAGGTTCTCAAGTCGTCCTATTTCAGGGGAACCGTTTCTAATGAAATGAGCATAAGTTGGGCATCAGGTTGGTCTCTGCTGAGGCCGCCACAGAGGTTTCTTCTCGCTTGGCTTCCCTTGTGTCTGTAAACCTGGGACCCCAGACAGCCTGAAATGATGCTCTCTTGTGGGGAGAACTGTATTGAAGACACTACCTTGAATGGGCCCCATGATGATAAGTCGGAATGGATTTCAAAGGCATGTGAAGAAACACACAGAGGAATATAGACTAGTGTTACTTTTACAGGCAGGCGTGTGCAGGAGGATAACATGTCAAAAATGAGAGGTATGGAAAGGAATAATAAATAATAGCGAAAAAAAGGGAGTTCTAGCTATTTCTCACCACACGTTTGCTATGTACTCAGCACCACATGAAATGTTTTTTTATGCGTCTCATTTAATCTTAAGAAGCTGTGATATATGCATATAGGTACTAAATATATTACATAATTCCAAGATGTGATATAGGTGCAATGATTAATTTTATTGTACTGAGAGGAAGTAGATTTCTAGAAGGTGGCACAGCTAGTGAGTGATGGGGTTGATACCCAAACACGAGTGTCTGTGATTCCTAAGTCCCACGCTTTAACCGGCAGCAGCCCAACTCCCCTGGTGACACGGAGGGCAGCACACACATGGCCAGCGGAAAGTACATAATCTATGATGCGGAGTCTCTACAGCATGAGATTCTTTGGTTTACAGTCTATGTGTCAGCTTTTTCCATAAGATCCTTAGGCACTTGAGGTAATTGAGGTCAGGCTATATAAGATTCAAATAAAAGCAGTGTGACCCATCGTATGAACCCAATAGAACATCCAGTAACCCCACCAGAATCTCCAGGGGTCCTTGAGGGGCTAATGTTTTCCCTGGCTTCATCGTGCTTCTGCTCTTGCCGTTTCTTTCTTTGTTCCCTTCCTTCCTCTTCTCCTCATCCTCCTGCTACCCCATCTTCCTTTTTTTTCCTCTTCCTCCTCTTCATCCTTTCCTCTTCTTTCTTCATTTTGTCCTTTCAGAGATATTTCCATCGTCTTTTCACGTCTTATGGTGCTATTGAGTGAAGGTTTGTGTAGCAGTTTTTACTGAAGGTTTGCCGTCCACGAGGGTGATTACTCTACAGAGAAGCACAGTGAACAACATAAAATGGACTATTAGGCTTCTTTTGTTCTCGAAAGGCCTTAGCCATTTGCCTTTAGGAAAATTTGCTGGGCGTCTCTATTATTTGGGCTCCAGCCTCCTATCACTTACTGTCCACGCCCTTTTCTTGACTGCTGTCTCCTTTCTTTCATAGCCTGCTTTCCTCAATTCCAAATGCCTGTTGATTTATTTTTCTCATCCCCAGCTTATCACAGCCATACCCTGAAGTCTATCTTTCTACAACCAAATTGGCAAATAAAGGTATCTTATTAAACTCAGGCAGTTTTCTCCCCTTGTAGGAATTCTACTGCCAATTCTTCATCTAACAATGTTTGCCTTCTTGCTACATGTACACACACACACACACACACACACACACACACACACACGCACACATGCACACACACTTAAAAGAAATATGAAATAATTGTAAGAACAAAGGGGAATTGTTTATACATGCCTGACTGAAGATATTTCCATTGATATGTGTGTTTCTTGGGTTGCCAGTGTGTGCTTGTGCCCCTGGAATAGAATTCACCAGTTCACTGTGGTCAAAATCGTCATGCTCTGGGTCATGGTGGAAGCAGTGTTCCATCTAAGCAGGAAAGGCATCACAGCAGAGGTGGTGTCTGGGGCCTCGCCTTGAGGATAAGTAGGCTTGATGAATGCTTTGAAGCCGGTACCATGGATATGCTGAGTCAGCTCAGAAGTTTGTCATATGAGCAATAGCTGCTGTATTGAATGCAGATTTTTCTGTCCATTTGTGGTCATAAGACAGACTACAAAAGGAACAGAAAGTCTTAGGAAACTTGAAAATCATAATTCTCCCAAATGAGACCTTTTTTGGTTGGGCTAAACCCCAGCAGAGCAATGTGGAAATGGCTCGACTCCGGCTATACACAGATCCCCTGAACCACTTTTTTGAATGTTGTATCTTATTTTGGGCCATGATAACTTGGGGGTTAAGGTAAGATTTTATGTTCTTTCGGGGTAAAAGGAAATATACCCACACAACAAAGGACAGAAAGAAGAAAAAAGGAAACACTAGGGCACTTTCTGGATCTTTAACATTTTAGACTTAATTAGACTTTTGCCTGGTTGGACACGAATTGCTGTTAAATCTTCCCTTGACCAGGATTCATTCACACGACTTACCTCTGCCTTTTACATTACAACATCCCCTTCCTCTCTTTTCTCATTTTCAATGAAGAGCCTGGTCAGAAGTTTGTATACGCAGAGCACCCAATGCACCTTTCAGAGTGATACAGGCCAGGATCATATTTGAATTATACCCCTACTGCTACTAATACTGCTTATTATCACATGCTTATTGGGAGTATTTAATGAGTGCAAGGCTCTGTGCTAAGATATTTTTAGGTGAAATTTACATTTTATTGGGGATAACTTAAGTCGCTGGTCACATATATTCGGAAGGGGAGGGGTGGCAAAGCAATTGAAAAGTCTTTTTTGTTCTGTGATCTATCGATGTATCAATCAGTAGATCCATCCATCCATCTATGCAACGATAGATATTGAGACAATGATGGTAGTGAAAGCAACAGGGAGGCTCTATTCCAAGAGGGGACAGGCATCCTTTGAAGATGTACTTTGATTGGAGAAGAAAGCTTGACTATTTATATGTTTATTTACATATATTTATATGTTTATTTATATCCTGCCTTTTGTCCTGAAGGATTTAAGGCCACTTCCAAAATACATGAAAGACATGTAGGTAAATGACAGGAAAAAGGCAAGGCAACCTAATTCTACAGAGATGCGATACCTATGACAGGCTAGACATTTGGCATGTGGAGTTGGATTCTAGAGGCTCTTTGAGTTAGCTTCATCGCTTATGCCAATGGACTTGTCATTTCTTCATCTAAAATGCTATATGACCAGTTCTTCTTTTTGCTCATTGTTTTCCTTCATGGGATATTTTGACTCCTCCTGTCCTCTCCCTTCCATACTGACTTTCTGGGTAATCTTACTCATTCCTCAAGATGTAGGTCAGGCATCACATCCTCCAAGAAGACTTCCCTGTCATCCCTGTCCCCATGGTTCTCAGATTGGCTTCTTTCCAGAACTTGCCATATTGTTGTGTTGAAATAATGTTTTATGGGTTTGTTTCCCCACTAGACTGAGCTCCATGAAGACAGAGCTATGCCTTCATCATCTTGGTTCACTATTATGGACATATAATAAAGATTTATTAAACTTACAGTGTGGAATCCAACTCTTTTTAACAAAAGCTCTCTAAATGAATGACTTCTGAGGATCCACTGGGAACATCGAACCCAAGACTCTACTTTTCTGCATCACGTTGACCTGGTCTTCTGAGAATGTTTAACTGCCCTGTGATGTGATTGCTGATGACAAAGTGGGATGCACTTGGCTTCTCTCTTGCTTACAGGATTCTGTTGTTTCCCTCAAGGTCAGAGGAAAGTGTTTGACCTCCCATTTGGAAGCTGCCTCTTTCGCAGTGATGTTTACGATAATGGGTCCTCCTTCCTCTACGATAACTGCACTGTATGCACCTGCAGGGTAAGGTGGTTCTGAGGGGCTGCGGGATAGCATTTGGGGTTTTAGTGTTAATGTTATAGCCAAACATGATGTGTTGTTTACCAGAAAGAGGCATTATTGACGCTATTTTAGGAGAGAAATCACACTCAAGATTGCAAGGAAATTCAAACATAGGACCCAAATTACAACTCACTGTCACCTTCTCAGGAATAACTAGCTAGCTTCTGGTGGTGACAACTAAACTCTGAGTGGCTGTCTGAGGCACTTTCTAAAATCAGATAAATGCACATAGCAGAGTTCTCTGGATCTAATTATCCACGATGAATTCTCTGACACACCTGGCAATAAAAATGGTTTTAATCACGTTCGAGAGAAGAGAAAGGCATGGATTTACAGTTCATCACAAGATAAAGCTGGTAGTTTGGGAAGAGACTATTTATGTTTTGTTCACTGTACCATTTCTCACTTGGGGCATTGCTCACTGTACTCAAAAGGCTACCAGAAGTCTAAAGACTGGTTAAAAAAAGAATTCCACCCCTCCCAAATTTTAAAGGGACACACATCACACATTCCTAGACTGTGCTTCTGTGGTGATTTATTTTTGAAACCAAGAAGGGGGTCATTTATATGGAGGACTTTAGGCTCATCCATTTGTTAGTGAGTGAACATCTGTGTGACACAAGTATAGAATAATACACTTTGGTGGTGATGGCTGTTGTTTTGTTTTTAATAGCTAAAGGGCTAGAGAGGGAAAGAGAGGAGGTTTGCTCAATGTTAGCTATGAGTCAGTAGCTGGGATTAGATTCCAGCAGTTCCTGATTGTTTGAGGCATGCTTCATTAAGTAGCATGCACTACTTCAGGGATGTGGCTGACTTGGTTGTTCCCTGGCACTGAACACCGAGTCATTTCTAAGCCCCGGATACTTTCCTGAGACTCCTTCCTCTCTTCATGGTTTGTATTATCCTATGCTAAACATATCGCCAACTCCTGTTGGCCTTGGCCTCCATCCTCAGGACTTATCTTCCTTTCTAGGAGTTGCACAGATTATAGCTTCCCCTTGGGGATACTGAGACTTTGATGGAACCCATCACATTCTCACTTCTCTTGATTGCAGGAAAACCTGGCAACCCAGGAATGGGAATCAGATATGCTTGTAGTGCTTTGGGTCTCATGGATTCCTTGAGAGGTGATGAGGAAATATGTCCTGGGACTCAAAAGAAGTGTAATTAATACTGTTCCTTCAAGAGGTTTTTTTTTTTTTTCCAAAGTATGTGTTCTCATTCATCTTTGGGAAATTAGGCTGCAGTAATTCTGGATAATCAGTGTTATTTTCTCTTTGCTTAGAGCTTTCCTCTCCAGCATCCTCATTCAATGCCATGGCAGGTGAGGACACTGTTTAGTAGTTCTCTGCGCACAATATGGTTTCAGGTCTCTGTGCCTTCCAATTTGATGGTTTCTCTACCAGTAGTGTCCTTATCTTCTTTAAATTTGATTAGCAAACTCCTCTTCATCTACAGCAACTCATCTCAGATGTCACCCCCTCTAGTGAGTCTTTCCCAACTCACCTAGATAGGCAATTATTCACTCTTCTCTGCTACCTTTAAGCTTGACTACTTCTGTTTACTGCATTATGCTGCCATTTATTTGTTCATATGCTTCTCTCCTCTGACTCTCTGAGCTCCTTGAAGACAGAAGTGCATCCATCTATCTTTGTATTCTCGTTACTGGCAATGTACCAGTGCCAGGCACATTATCTAATGGGTGCTGTGTGTGTGTACGTGTGTGTGTTTAATGAAAGTTAGGAAATCTACTGTGAAGTATGCATTATTTGAAAGCTAGTGAGTACAGATCAAGACATGCAACTTGAAAAGGGATGTTTTTCAAATTTATGTATTGACTTACAATAATTTCTATGACCCAGGCTCTGTGCTGGGTCCAATACTTCATAAACTGTACAAGAAACCTGAGAAGTAAGTATTATCATCTCCATTTTGAAGAAGAGGACTCAGAGACTCAGGGAGCACATGATAACACACCTAATAAATGAACTGGCGTTCTACCCTGATCTTGTTCGACTCTAAATCCTATCCACTATATGATGTGGGTAGAACCGTAAATATAAAGAATAACAAATGACATTTTTTTGGAATGACCATATTATTGTCATATTAATCTTAGATAGATAATCACTGTGAGCATAGTAGGTGGTCCTAGGAGCATAGTAGTGGGAGCACAGTAAGCGATTTACACTTCTTTGTATGTAATGCTCAGAAATTAGTCCACTCGCAAAGCTTCCTGACAGGGTCTCTATCTTGGTGAGGGGTTTGGTCTCATTCCTGTGGCATTGTTCTCACACTACTTTGACACTTTGACGGGATTGCTCTTCTACCCTGGGACACTTCTTTGCTCTCTCCCTGTCCTCCATTGAGTTTCATAAATGTTTTGCTCTTACAGTCCTTCCAGCTGACAATCTATTCCAGGTGACAGTGCATCTTGTTGGCTGGGAAACTAGAGAAGTTTACTTCTTTTTAAGCTGCTTTGAACTTTTCTTCAATGTGTTGTTGAATAAATCAGTATGCCAAATGACTTGGCTATTCTGTTCATGGAATATACTTCTTTAGAAATCAAGTCACACCCTTTTAATTACAGATATCAACTTGTCCCCCTGCGAGGTTCAGTGGCCTCATTAAGGTTACATGGTTTACAGCTTTGGACTTGCTCGTTTCACTCCTTTGTGAACATGGAAAAACACACTAAGGGATTTCCTCTTGAGGTGGAACATTAGCTCTTAATCTCTACTCTCTGATCAGAGATAGCCTGGCTTTATGCTAAACTCCTAGGAGGTGGCACAAAGCCATAGAGGAGACCCAAGAGAGCACTACTAATGAAGATGCGAAAGAAGGAAAGGACAGAAAGAAAGAACCTGGCTGGCCCATCGTGAGCTGGGCCTTCTTGCCACATGCTGGCTGAAGCAGAATCATTAATCTCTTGAGCATTAAATTATAAATGCTTGGAAGGCGGGGAGCACATGTCACACTTTTCATTGTCCAGATATTTAATCAACAAATAACAATTTGACGGGAACGAAAGGTTTATTGCAAATGAAAATGTGGTAGCTTCGGAATCTGGTTTAATGCAGTTCGTTGTAGGTTGCTGAAGGCAGGCCAGGGAGGACGTTTGGTGGAGGTGGAGATCATTTTTCATTTCTTATTTGCCTTTGGGCCCCCCAGGACTCTACTGTAGTGTGTAAGAAGAAGTGCTCCCGCCCTGGCGGCTGTGGGAAAGGCGAAGGGGCCTGCTGTGAGGAATGCCTCCTACGAGTGCCCCCAGAAGACATCAAAGTGTGCAAGTTTGGCAGTAAGGTTTTCCGGGTACGTCATGAGCCAAGCTCCTGGGAACTACTGTGAGTTGTAAAAAACTCCAGACAAAATGCAGATTGGAGCCTCCCGTATTTTTTATATGCAAATACATGCATGTATAAATGTGCTTATTTATATTACAATATTCTATGTGCATACGAAGGTCAGACAGTTAAGTTTGCAAACTTTCCATTGTCTAAGCAAACTTAATTGTCTGACCTTTTGTGCATAGTACATATATATTTAACGTCAAGTGCGCACAGGGACAAAGAAGCAATTGTGTGAAAATGTTTTTCTTTGAGAAGCTTTTCTTTTGCAAAATGCTTTAGTTTTGCTTTTTAAAATATTATAAACTTGTAAAACATCATTGCTCTTTCCAAATGTGGTTGGCCAGTGATTCGGACTGGGCTGAAGCAGCCCCCCGGATGGTGCAGTGATGGGTACCCAAATGCCAGGGAGCATCTCATTCAGCCAGAGATGCTCAGGGCCCCTTGCTAAGATCCTGATGGTTCTATAGCTTCATAGTTTGAGAACTTTTCACAAAACTTCTTTTTCAAAGAGAGATTTTCTCATGTGGAAAACGTTCAGGTGAGGATGCTCATGGCATACGTGGCCAGGACAGCGGCTGAGCAAAGGTGAGAGGGCCCTGCACCAGTGGAGCCAGCAGGGGTGTCTCTTGGCCACCTGCTACCCACCTCAGGTGTGTTTTCCATTGTTTTTCTGATGACCTCAGTGGGATGCTGTGCAGTAACCATTTAAACATTAGGATGAAGATCGGTGGCTTTGTCCAAAGTGCTTCCCATCTAGTCTGTTTTCCCCAGGTGCGGAGGGAATCTCTGTGAGCCTGAAGGTGTCATCTCATGATACTCATGAGAACTGCGACCCTCGGATCAAGTCAGATGTGGAAGCTCCTCAGGCATGCCGCACGTAGCCAGACCTCCTGTTACACTGTAGAGTTGGAGGGAGAGTCTTTCTTGGTTCTTAAGGAATTAGTAGGAAGACATGATTTGTCTTCCTACCAAGGGAATGGGGTTGCATGTGTGTTGTACTTACACCAGGTTTTCAGAGCCTTTTGTGCCCTCTTTGTATAAAGTCAGCCCCTCCTGATCACCCAGATGCAATAGACTCACGCTCATGATAATGGTGTGCACAAAGCACCTCCCAGGCTTCTTATTAAAAGGCTCCCTTACGTGAATGAGGCCTGAGACCATTTACAGAGGGTCACCCTTCAAACACCGAGTCCTAGAAATGTGCACTCAGAGAACCTGGAATGGTCAGGTGCCCTGTGTAGAAAGATTGAGTTAGATCTTCCTCTCCTGAGAAATAAAAGGCACTGGAGAGCAGAGAGTACTTAAAACAGCTTCAACAAGGGAGAAGGAAGAGGAGGAGGAGGAGTTGTCATCAAAGATCTGAACTAGTTTCTCTGTTTTTAACCAAATTTGCTGCTTATATCCACAAGGGAGGAATCCTTGTTTTGTTCCCAGGCCCAACTCCATTGCCTGTCGTCTCTGTTCCCACAAGCCAGGATGCACGTCCCTGCGTGTTCTCCAGAGCTCCGGGGCTTCTTGTGGCTGAACCTTTGACCACTGTACATTATAAATCCAGTGAGCCAAAGAAATTCTTCAGACAGCTCTTTCTGGGGTAGAAAATGTATCCCATGGTATCACCCAGCTTTTTGGGGGGAGAGAATCCAACAGGCAGGGACATGGTGTGAATAGCTCTTGGAGTTCTCTGTCTGGGCTCCACATTTTCAGGTGGCTTGCTGGGTAAGTGTAGATGGATACCTCTGAGTAATTTCATTGTCAAATGATGGCAAAGGGTAAGAGGTGCTTTCCATGATAGAGACATCCCAGCCTGTTGGATTAGCTCGCGCCAGCCTCCAGCTGATAGCAGAATCTTGTGCTCTGTCTGTTAGGATGGAGAAATGTGGTCCTCAGTGAACTGCACCATCTGTGCATGTGTGAAAGGCAAGACAGAGTGTCGCAAGAAGCAGTGTGTTCCCATCAGCAGCTGTCCTCAGGTACGTGTGGGATGCAGGCCAACTGCCTCTTTACCTTAGCACCTTGGGAAACATCCTGTGTGTGGCACGGTCACATGGTCACAGGTCTAGATCCCCTGAAACATCCAAGTTTCCAAATACCCACATGCCCTTTGCAAAGCTCGCTCCTTTTCTGCAGTCTCCACCCAGATTCTAGTCTTGCGTAAAAATAGCTCCTCCCTTGTTCTCGCCCCCAGTCTCCTATTTTTTAGTGGCTTTGCCCAGTTCTTTGTTTTAATATTGCCAACTCCTACTCGATCTTCTGCCTTGTACCTTTTGCTGAGTTTTCTGTTGAACACTATAACCATCCTTTGCATTTTCCTCCTTTCTTTCTCTCTCTCTCTTCTCATATCAGAGTTTTCTTCCTGTAGCCATTCAAAGTAATATGTGGTTGTTGATTAATAAATTTCCCAAGGGGTTTCTCCTGCCTAGCGGCAGGCCGACCCCTTCTCCAAAGTGAAGTTTCCCCTCTCTAACCCTGGCCTCCATTGTAGCCCCGAACAGAAATCATGTCCTTATGGAAATATCTCTTTTCAGAAACCCACAGTTCCAGCGCACAGAATAAAGCAGCCATTATCTTCTAGAGCATGAGCTTCGGTGAATTCACCTTAGCCACTTGAAACCTCTCAAAGTTTTATGCGTTTTGGGAAAATGTCAAACCTATTCAGTACCTTCCAGTGAATATATATAAAAAAAATCCATATATTCAGGACATGTCCTCCTTTTTCTGTTATAGACAGCCTTTAATTTTATTCACATCTGTTATTATTATAAACAAAGCATCGCAGTTTTTGCTTGACTGCCAAACGAAGCACAAAAAAACAACAGCTGTTGCTATTGCACAACTGAATAAAGGGGGGAAAAAAAAAACAGAAAAAAAAAGCCCTAATTAGTCTTGCTTTAAAAAGCCTCAGACATAAAACTGAAAACCTTCCATAAAAGAAGAAGGAGAAAAAAAAATGGAGATATACTACATAGACTTGAACATGGTCTGCTTATAAATATTCATTGGGAAAATGGGCTAAATGGGCTCACTTCGTTTCTGCCAGTCCTGGGGGAAGCCTCACTGCTAATGACCTCTTGCAGCACATGTTAGTAATAATGGGCTTCCTTATTCTACAAGACAAAACAGGACACGGTGCCAACCTGGTGGCTTGAGTAACTAGCTCAGCCGGCCACGGTGGAGAGTCCATCGTCACGTGAGTCCTGCTGCTTGTGGCGGGCTTGGAGGTGCTCATCGTCCCGTTGCTGTGGGGACGCCAATGCTCTTTCTGTCACCAGCTTCTCATGAGCATTTCTTCTTTGTGGGCCACATTTAGGACAGGAGCAGCCGTGCCTCCAGGCACAGGTCTTTGCCTGGCCGCCTGCTTGTTCTGTCAAAGCTTGTTCATGCCTGGCTCTTGCCTTGGGGGCCACCTTTCTGCTTCTAGGCGTCCTTCCAACCAGTCCGCCAGTTCACAATTTCCCGCCCCCTTGGCCAGCACAAGACTTTGGAAGATAGCTGAGTTCTACCATAGAAATCCTGTTAAACACTTCCTTCCTCCCCGCTGCATTGCCTGGGGAAATTTTAAAAAAAAAATTTTTTTTTGAAGAAGCATCCTGTATTCCCTACTCTCTCCTTCCCAGGCACTGCTCATCTCTTTTTCCAGAAGTTTGTGTGCTTTGTTGAAGAAGGATCTTATGGTTGGATTCCTTGTCCGCCCACCCTCGCAACTCCCCCAAAGGCAAAGGAGTGCCTTTGTGAGAAGGGCTATGAGGGCTCCAGTGGGGACAACACTGTCCCCAATGTTGTTATGACATTGTCATCTTATCAATGCTGACATGTACTGAGATTAACCCCATTTAATGCTGAGACCACACCTCTGAGGTGGGTGTTGTTACTACACCCTTCTTCACCATAAGGCCACATGTCCAGAGTTCCACAGCTAGTTATGTGTAACTCAGGAGCTCTGACTTCATTGGTCATGCTTGACTTATTCCCCACATAATTTAGTTATATTACCAGCTCCACTTGCATTTTCTGAGGAAGTTGATGGTAGTTTCTGCCAATGTGCAGATGTAGGGGGTCACATGGCCATTATTTTGTTGAGCCCTTGGCCGTAGACAGCTCTGCTCCCTTCAGGTGGAGCACCTTCCTCCATCCTCCTGGGGCTGTCATTCCATTTGCCTGAGCCAAACTCATTTGGTTTTGTCCTCACCTGCTTTCAGTCCAAGAAGCCAAAAGAGACTTATGACTAAGTGGAAATTGAGAAGAGAACGCTAAACAATGAAAATATGTGTGATACCCCAAACCATGGGACTGCTGAATGGGACTGAGTTTTCCATCTTATTCAAAGTCATCATAGCCCTTCATGTGCTATTTAGTCTAGCTGACATAAAAGTGAATCAGATGTGGTTCTAGTTCTTCCATTATTAACCAGTATTTTTTGAGTCAGTATGATTTTTTTTGAGCGCCTAGATCTATTTTTGATGCAACTGACCAGTGGTGAATGAATGAGTGGACATTATATTAACAGTGTGGCCTGGACATAGGTCTTGGACCACCTCTCTGTGATCTCTGTTTCCTGGTCTCCTAGAAACAGGGGTAGGAACACCTGCATTTAGAGGTTATTGTGAAGCATAAATTAGATAAAAGTGTGAAGAATGCATGGTGTTCTTCCCAGTGTATAGCATATACTCAATAAATATTAAATTCTCTTAGAGATCAAGATGAAAGGGGTTAAAAATCTGGAGTGGAAATAACATGGCCTTTAGGTAACACGAACTTAGGTTTGATGTTGGGTTCTACCACCCTTGTGTCGCATGAAATCAATTTCTTCACCTGTAAAAAGAGAAATACTCAGCTCATGAGGCTCTTGTGAACCCTAATAAAAATTATTACAATAACATGTAATATTAACTAAACCTAATACAGTCTAAGTATTAACTTATTAAATCCTTACGACTAACCCAGTGTTCAGTAATGTAAGGTAATGTAATCTAGTAGGATGTTTGTTGCATAGCAAGTGCTTTGTAAATGTTAATCTTTTTCCACATTTCTTTTTCTCTGTGAGTCCCACTGAGTCAGAGATATGACAGTGCCATTCTCTGATATGGGCCCTGAGAATATGCTTCCTCCTTTAAATGTCATGCACTAAAAAATTGGGAAGAAATGCATTATCGGAGATTGTACTGTATTTCCAGAAAGGTGGTGGAAAAGCACTCAGCATTTTGAAACGCTCAGCTTCATTGGCCTAGGTTGCATAACAGTTTCTGGAAGGATAAACCCGACTGAATTTGATCTGTAATACAGATATTGTCTATATCTGTAGGCCCGAACTTGGGTTACGGTTTATTGTTTGGGTCCTCCCAACAAGCAAAGACAAAACGAAGGCCTTACATGAATTGATAGGTTGGCAGACAATTCCCATGTTTGTGTGTGTGCACTTGGTCTCTAGGGGGATAGATTTGGCTATCAGTGAAAAGGTTCAATCCACACTGTCTCCATCTTCCCTCCATGTGAGAAAAATCACACCAATGTGTCCTTCAGATATTATATTTCTCAAAGGATAAAAACAGGAATGCTTTCTCAATGACTTTGTGTGGCCTTTGCACCTGATACTTGAAACTTCATCTGCACCATCATCATCACCACCTGGGCATTGAGTGCAAGTACAGCTTGGACTGATTTCATTGGTTTATCTGGCATTGGATTAAAAAAAAAAAAAAGAATTTTGTCCTCAGGAGACCCTCTTTCTTAACATTAAACTCTTTTTTTTTCTCTTGATTAGGGTAAAATTCTCAACAGAAAAGGATGCTGTCCTATTTGCACTGAAAGTAAGTTTATTCCTTTGAAAATGTGCTATTACTATTTGTCTTGATTGTATAATGTGACAAGAGAAATGGTGGTGTAAGTTTTCTGCACATGTTGTTTCTGTAGGTATAGCATGGGATCCTTCCACTTCCCTACAGACACTTTGAGTCCATTATAATACTCTCACAGAAGCACAGTTGTCGATGTTTCCATCGGAACTTGTTGCTATGGGAAATTTGGAAGATAAATGGCCTGATGAGGTTTTAAGAAGGACCAGATAACTTGGTGTGCATTTTAACTGCTAATAGCATTTGCAGTCATGGTGGCTAAGACAATGCTATCCAGTAAAACCAAACATTATGCATAACCGAGGAGGGATTTTTCCTTCCATCATCATAAAGCCAAACAGCTGCACTTACTTCCTCCCCCCTCCCCCCCACCGCTTTCACCTGGGCACATCCAGTTCTTGCCATTGGCAGAGATAAAACAAGAGGTCATTGGGCTGGCAAATGGTTTGGCCATCCCGTTATTTTTAACTGAGTTCTTGAAGGTTCTACCGTGGCCTATTCTGAAAGCTGCCTGAGACTGCATTCACAGACAAAGCATAGCAACAGGTTTAATGGCCTCCCCACATGCAGACAGACGCCTGGATCTATTAGCAAACAGCGTCTTCCCCAACTCGTATGGTGTTGAGATAGCTTTCTGAAGTGTTTTAGTGAAAGAGGAGTATTAGTAATGTCATTGCCAAATTAGTTTCGATGTGTGATAAATAGGATTAACAAAGACATGAAATTTATTAGAAAGTGTTTTATGAGCCAGTCAGGCTTAGAAAAGTGGGTTTTGCTGATGGTTGAAAGCAGCTTTCACGTGCGAACAGGTTTGTTTAATCCACTTGTCTAAAATATTTTGGACAAAAGATACAGAGGTTTTATATATATATATGTGTGTGTGTGTATGTACACACACTCTTATTATATATATATATATATATATATATATATATATAATATATATATACACGTATGTCTCACTCATTTTTGAGATAGAAAGCTATTAAACAATTATACACTACACACTGGATAAAAGTACTGATTGAATGAATGAAAATTAAGGTATAGATTTAATAAAATAACTTTACAGATAATGCAGTACATAAAATAACACAAGGGGGCCAGTATGACTTAGAGCCCAAGAATTAACGCAGGAAGAAGAATTAGCTATGATTAACACACCAGTTTATTTCAAAACATGTGTGTAAGCTATTGCATTTAATCATCCTCCCAGGGACCCTCTGAGGACACTTTGTTTACAGATGGTTTGGAGGCCGCCTCCAGCTTAAGTCCTCTCTGGATGAGCAGAGTCGAGTCTAAATTGATGGTTTTCTTCTGTTTCCATATCAGTGGAGTTGCTTGCATTTCCTTAGAAAGTATCTCATTGAAGCAGAGGCAGACTTCAAAGGAACCCCTCAGATTTTCTAGCTAGCCCTTTCAATTTGCATGAGCACAGATAGATTACGCATGCCCATCACACCACCATCAGGAAGGTTCCCTGCTTATCAGCTGAACACAAACATGTGGCCGATCTTGTACAGAAACAGCCTAAATCTTGAATTACCTGACTTTATGTTACAAGGATCAAGATGGTGATTATTGAGATAGTTGAGAGAAAAGCTGCCTCTCATTATCCCTCTATCCATTATGGGCTAGCCTTTCCATATCTAGAATACTCGTGGCTCATCAGGAAAAAAAAGAAAGGAAAGGCTAGAAGGATGATGGGCATCACAAAATCAAACCAAGGTTTTAACCGGTCATATGAAATACTGTATTGAGTGAAACACGTGAATGAGCCCATGACTTCTGTCACCAAGAGAGGCAGTTGGTAAGGGAGAAAGCCACCCAGCTGGAGGGGCAGCCGGGAGACATCAACTCTATGCACCTGCGACTAGCAGGTCAGTGTGGGAACAGCCCAGGCATGTGGTTCTCGGTCCAATTCTGAATGACATCACCGGATGGCTATTTCTCTATTTCCTTTGGTGTTCTTTCCATCTGTTTACTCTCCCTTTCTCTCCAGCAGTTCTTCCACCAGTGCTGTAAAACACATTCTATTTGGCAAAATTTATTTCAGATTGAGTTAGGCGATGAGATGACTTCCAATTTTTTTAAGCAATGCCCAGATTTTCATAACATTCAGGTAGACTTATTCTGGTGTCCTTTAGCTATGGCCAAATGACCTCTTATTTTGAAATTCCTTTGTCATTATAACCAGGACCCAGAACAAACCTTTAGGCTCATTTTTTCCTCCTCCATCAACTATGAAAGCTCTTCTGATATATGCGTTTCTAGAGCAGACAAATGGAGGCTGAAGTAAAAACTAAAGCTAGTGTTTCTAAAACCAGAAAGATGACTGATTTCCATCTTTTTTTTTAATCACATACACACATACATACCCCATTAGTTAGTTCAGAGTTTTTAAGCTCAGTATTACTGATCGTTTGGCCAAATAATTCTCTGTCGTGGGGCTGTCCTGTGTACTGTGTGACAAATTTGCAGCATCTCTGGTCTCTACCAACTAGATGCCAGTAGCACTCCTCTCCCCAAGGTTGTGACAATCACCAGTGTCTCCAGACGTCGCCAGATGTTCTCTAGGGAGCGAAATCACCCCTGGTTGAGAACCTCTGGTACCCCAATCAGGGCAAATGACATAGGTGAATACAGAAATAAACACCTGTGCTACTAGTAACAGTAACTTACTCTCAACACACAGTGATGAGATGAAATAGGGGAGTAAGGTGAGGTTGCCCTTCTGCAGGTATAAAGATGACAGACTAGAAGCCTCTGGATGCAATTGAATGTAGTTCTGTATTTTCATTGCCTAACCCTACTTCTGATTCTTTTATGGAAGGAGGCAGGAATAAATAAATACACACACACACACACACACAAATGAAATGGATTGAATACATAGCGTTGATACTCTAAAACTCACTTGATTATAATAGTTAAATGAGTGTCACCTTATTTCAGCAGGGGTGACACTGCACTGTCTGTTCCTACAATCCCCAGCATCCCTGCCTTATTGACTGGGTTAGTCTGTCCTGGTCGTGTCTGGGGATGTCTCAGACTCTGAAAGGAATGGTAAAGGGGAGACAAATTCAATGTGTAGAACATTTTATAGGCCTCTCTTTGCAATAGTCAGTGACAATGGTTAATTTATAACTCTGTAGGTAAGAAGCAGTCATTGAGGCCCTAATAAGTTGTCTTCCTCAGAGTAAGGTAGTCTTTGCAGGGTTGGTCTGAAAGGGCAATGATGATTCTATCAAAATTGAAAAAAAAAAGAATCCTTTTAATATAGATCTGAAGGAAGTATGAAAAGCATTGCTGTGTTATAATGACATGGGATGTTCTCTTTTTCTCTTTTCTCAACTGAAAGGAATTAAATTTGGTTTGGGTGAATCATTTAAAATAAAAATTGAAAGTGAGTGAAACGAACTTTATAGAGCTTGTGTGCAGGGGCTATTTCTTGCCACAGTATGAGCTCTAGCCTAGAGTGGGTCCAGCTGTGGGACTGAGCATCAGGGGACCACAAGTTAGGTGCCAAGGAGGCTGCCATCTGTCGTGTATGTAGCACTTGGTTTATGGGAAATGTTATTTTACTGTGTGCTGGCAAACAGTAGGTGGAATCTTGACCTGACCACCCAGCAGAGACTGGAATCAGATAAACTCTTTGCTGGAAGAATGTCTGTTTTCAGACATGGAAATAATACTTAGCAACAAGCTTTTCACTGATAAGAGAGGGTGTGTGTGTGTGTGTGTGTGTGTGTGTGTGTGTGTGTGTGTGTGTGTAAAGAGAGAGAGAGAGAGAGAGAGAGAGAGAGAGAGAGAGACCCTGAGAGAGGATTTAATCTCTTAACCATCTACACAATCAGAGGCAACCTAAAGCAGCCCCAGCTGTGGTTGCCCAACCCTGCTCTCAGATTCATTAAGCTGTGCCTGTAGCTGTATTAGCCCTAACCATCAGAATCCAAACCCCAGACGAAAGTTCACGATTACATAACACAGAGGCGGGTAGGCTATACTGAGCACAGATGTGCATTTAATTGGAATAACCTCAACTGCACGTCCCACAAGTAACAGGAAATATCAGATTCCAGCAGCCCTGGGTGCAAGGAGGCTCACAGTTGCCAGGTGACCTCTTTAACCCCCCAAGGGGTAGTTCCCAGCTGTGCGCAGTGCTGGTGTGCCTGCTCTCCAAGAAGGCCTGTGCCCACCACATGTACCCACCACAGGTGCTGTGGAACTGCCCTGGCTGGTTTTGGCACCTCTTACTGCAGTCTCTGGGCATGCCTACAGGTATCTCCAATGAAATAGTAGCTGTCAGAGGGGGAAAATACAACAACAATTTAATGAAACAGTGACCTTGGGGCCTATTTTATGAGAAATCTCCACTGACAGAGGTTCTGCAAATTAGTAATTCTGTGTTTGAGCAAGGTTCCTGGCCTCCAAGACTGTAAGCCGCTCCAGGTCCCTTAACACCAAGAGTCTGTCCTTAACTCAGGAAAGCAAGGAAATCTGAAACCAGAGCTGAAGATGCTTGCGGAATAAGAATTTGTGGTGTTGACTTCAGCCCTGCCAAGGAGGTGTGAAGCTAAGTGGCCACTGACCTTTCTGCATGAGCAGCTGGCACTGGGGTCATCACTGCTCCTGAGGCCCAACCAGCAGGCAGGGGTGGCAAATCAACCCCAACTGTCCCCCATGTGGTGGTTAGGAAACCCCACACAGGCAGGAGTGGCATGGGAAGGCGAATGAGGAAAGCAGTTTGTTTTCTGTTTTATATGCTGGTCTGTCCTAAGGGATATTGTTCCTTTAAGTTTTTCTGGCTGTGGATTGGTATTACGTTGAAGGAAGAGGCTGATGTCATTAAGGGTCGTCTTGCACCCATCTCTGATTGTTGGTTCCTGCAGGGTGGTAGTACTCTGTAAGTTCTGACTGTTTATTTTAGTTACCAATCATTATCAACAACATCA